AGGCTTAGACATTAATCTCACTAAATATCACAATCATTTATTTCAAAGTAGGAAAAAAGAAGCATAGCTTCTTTTTGGAAGAGCTTTGAACTCTTTCTATGCACAGTTTTTTAAACATAATCATTTTTAGTTCTACAATTTTTAGTGATGAACATTTTAGTGGTGAGTGCTCCAACACTTGGAGGCATTGAAGAGAAATATGGACAACCACCTGGCAGATGTCCTTTGATTTGTATTCCTGCACTGAGCAGGGAGTAGTACTCAATGGTCTTATAGGCCCCTTCCAACTTCATTATTCTATAATTCTATGATAAAATGTTAAAATAAAACAGACCTGATACATGCTGTTTTGTTCCAATGATTAAAAAATATATAGAAAGTTGCATGCATGCTTTTTATAATAGTCCTATAAACTAGAAAGTGTACAAACAAAACAAAACAATAGAGTCTTGTGGCACCTTTATGACTAACAAATTAATTCTAGTGTGAGCTTTTCTGAATGAAGCTATTTCATGAAAACTCACAATCTTAAGAATGACACAACTTTTGGTTTGGTTTGGTTTGGTTACATGCTACTTCTTTGAGAAGTGTGTAAATTCATCTACAATCTTGATCAATATGAAATAGTTTTCTTTTAAAAATTATGCAAAAATGTTTATATTGTTTGTGGTTTTAAAAATCCCAAAGCAGTTTACAAAAGAAATTATGGAGGTGCCTAGTACTCATAAACTTACTTTCTGCAAAGAAAAGAAACAAAAAAAAATTCTAAGTGCAGAGGAATAGATATTAGCATAGACATTTCTATGCAGTGAAACACATACTGGGAATGATAGGCAAAAACAGTTACTCTGAATATTGCCCAGAAGGGAACCTCTCATTCTATAGAAATAAAACATATCCCTGTCACTGGAGTGAGGTGGGTGGACTAAGAACTTGATGAGATGTAGGGAAGACAAAATAAATGAGAGCTAACAGGTAGGATGAGGGACGTGGTGGCGCTGTGGTCTAAACCGCAGAAGCCTGTGCTGCAGGGTCAGAAGATCAAGCAGTCGTAAGATCGAATCCACGCGACGGAGTGAGCTCCCGTCGCTTGTCCCAGTTCCCGCCAACCTAGCAGGTCGAAAGCATGCAAATGCAAGTAGATTAATAGGGACCACTTTGGTGGGATGGTAACAGCGTTCCGTGTCTAAGTCGCACTGGCCACGTGACCACGGAAGATTGTCTTCGGACAAAACGCTGGCTCTATGGCTTGGAAACGGGGATGAGCACCGCCCCCTAGAGTCGAACATGACTGGACAAAAATTGTCAAGGGGAACCTTTACCTTACCTAACAGGTAGGACAAGTGGTCAAGTGGGATAGAGATCCAGTGAAAATGTAAACAGTGGTTATGCGAAGGAAGAGGGAAATATCTTGCCCGGAATCCTTGGGCCAGCACCAATACTTTCCACCTCTCCTCCCTGCTCCTGAAGACCAATCAATGGGCAGCAACTAAGTTAACAACTATGTCTTCTGGTGACAGCAAAATCCTCACGGATACCAAGAGTCTGGGAGAGATTTCTGACATGTCATTGACCTTGCAAATGCACTGCAGTCTGAAATGGACAGACAGAATTAATAGCTGCCTGGAGCAGTTTCCAAAACTTTAATGAGCAATTAAAAGGTTATGTAAAGAAGCGCTGCACCTTTGGCTTCCAAGTCATGCATGAAAGTAACTTAGTCTGCAAGAAGAAATCCCATAGATTTCATTTTCATCTGCAAACCTCTTCTGTTGCAGCCCCAGGGAGAAGCAGAGTAACCATTTCCAAGGATAGAAAGTTACGAGGGCAAATACTAAGTATTTCTGCAACATCAATTTGCAGGATTAGATGAAAAGAAATGAAAAGGAAAACAACACTGCTCTCTGTCATGGTGACATAGAAATTGGAGACCAGGGAGACCCCACAATAGGAACTTTTAAAGAACAGGGATGTGGGGCCACAACAGTGCTGGAAATAGCACTGGGACCCTTGTGGGGCTGCATTTAACACAGAGACCACACTGTGTCCACCGCTAGCACAGCACAAGTATTTCACCGCTGCAGTTATTTCAGTTCTATCTTTTATTTCATCTACAAACATTAAATCAGTGGTTTGGTGACTCTCAGGTCTGGGAGCCAGGCTGGACACTTGTACTGAATGGAGCTGCACCCCCTGAAAGAGCACGTGCATAGTTTGCTGGTACTCCTAGATTCATCTTTGATGCTGGATGCTCATATGAGCTCAGTGGCTTGGTGCCTGGGGCTTCAAGTGGTGTGTCAACTAAACCATACCTGGGCAGAGATCACCTGGTGACAGTAGTCCATGACCTAGAAATCTCCTGGTTAGACTATTGGAGTGTATTGTGTGTTGGGCTATCTTTGAAGATGACATATGTGCTGCAGCAAGTGTATTATGCAGCAGCTAGACTGCTAATAGGAACACCTTTCAGAACACATATGACACCAATTCTGAAGGCTTTGCACTGGCTGCCAATAGACTTCTGGTCTGAGTTCAAGGTGTTGACAATGATCAAGCCTAAATGGTTTAGGACCTGGATATTTGAAGGACTGCCTCTTCCTATATAATCTAATTCAATAAATTTACTTTAGATGGGACTCACAACTGGATTCAGCCTCTTTCTGTACATTATGCAGTGTATAAAGCACTGCTGTTTAACAAACATTCTTAATTATTTAGATGAATCCATATTAGTTGACACATACATTCACTCTTTGGAATGGATTCAGAGCTGTGTCAGCAACGTGCTTGGCAGCTTGCAGTGAAGACTGACATGCCCTTTATAACCAAAAGGCATTCTGACATGTTGATTTACAGTGTAAACGATGCTAGATTTAGCAATGCTGCTGCATGTATGCCTATCTGAGAAGCAAATCCCACGGTGCTCATTTGCAGCTTGCTCCCTAATATCTTTGTTAAGAATTACAGCCTAAGTCTCCTGGGCTACATTTTACTACCTGGATGTTGGAAGCTATTGTAGCATCTGCCCAGGTCATGAATATTCATATGCTATCTGCATAGACCAACTGGAGTGCTGGAAGGGCGGAATCACAAGATATAAGAGACTCAGCAGGAGGAAGGGGAGTTTCAGATAGGGAGTTGAGATTGAGAGAGATAGTTTTGGAGTTTGGGCGGGAGAGTGGTGGTTGAGAGGGATAAAGGAGAATGTCTGTTAAGAGTTAACAACAATGCTTGAAGTATCTACATCTGTAACAATAAACAATTCCTATTTGGTTCTTTTAAAATGACATAGGACCTGGACCTCGATTATTAATAATAGGTAATATTGATGTAATCAACTGGTGGCAGCTGAGGGGCACCTAGCGTGAGCTCCTAGTTTGGTGAAACAAGCAGGGGCCACGTGGGGATCGTGACAGCTATTAAGGTATTTGTTTTTATTACTATTGGTTTACTTATCTACACAGTCAGTTCTTCCTCTTAAAATCTCTTGTTTCATTATCACAGGTTGGATCTAGATTGTACTGGTACCAGAAGAAGAAACATCTCTTTGGGGCAATTCCATCAAGAGATGTTCTCACTGGCGTAATTTGAGGGAGGACATTTTTGCTGACCTTCTTTTTCCACTTTTTTTCCTGCCCCCCTTATGTTCTCTGAAAATCTGTTCCAGAGGGTTGAAGTACTATGGGGGAGAGGAATCTTCCATGACTGGATGAGGTCCATCTTGGTTGTAGAAGTCAACATTTCAATACAATGTTGTTTGAAATTCTAGAAAGTTGTACTTCCCAACAAAAACACCTTGTTAATTGGCTTGGTTGGCTTCAAAGTGTGATTGTGAAGCTCTTCCTGTCCTGGGAAGATACTCTGAATGGACTGGTTCCCAAGTTTAAGGCCCCAGATTTTCCTGGACTACAACTCTTAGAAGCTACAGAAAGCACAGTAAATGGGCATGGCTTCTAGGAGTTGGAGGCTAAGAATATCTGAAACTCCAAGTTTTGGAACTGCTGATCTGCAGGTTTTAGGGAAGATCTGATCCATAGATCCAGGACTGGCCTCTACAGAAGGCTATCAGATAACTCCAACCCATAATATTTTATCAAAGATGTAAAAATGAACATTTCATGTGTGCCTACTGAGGGCACAGCAATAGTCCAGACTGTTTGTTCTGATAGCTTCTACTAACACATGGAGATATTTCCTTGAGAAAAAAAATTCATGGCAACATAATCATCTTCACAGAACATGTAGAGCTGAGCCAGTATGACTACATTTCTCAGAAAGAAACAGATCAATTTTAGACAACTACAAGCTTTGTTGTACATGACAGGCCATTTTAATTAACAAAAATAGCACTAAATTATAACTATCATATATTGCCTGAAATCTGATTAGCATATGATCTTTTTGGCCTGAGAGACTTATAATTACCTTAAGTGAATATTGATTTAGACATAAGCCAAAAGCTACACAGAATTAATACAGATTTTTATAAAAACCTGCTCAGTTGCTTGATGCATTCCCTTTATGTATAAAATCTTACAGAAGAAAAGGTCTGTGTAGCTTTTAAACTCAAGGGATGGGGAATTATTGCTTGTAGAGACCTCTAAAATTTGAAGTCAGAAAGAAGTAAAGGGGGGGCACAGCAAAACCTTATTAACTTCACTGCAAAGTAGAAATCTATATTTTATGATATAACTCCATCCTTATGTCTAATCCATGACTTCCAAATCTTTCTTTTCTCTTCCACAGCTATCTGTATAATTCTGGGAATCTATAGGACAGCATCCAGGCCTGCCTATTATTTTAATTTGGGGGGGGGGCTTAGGGTCAGTGACCTTGGCAAACTGTGGTGGCATATGGAAAACAAAGTAACCACCTAATAAAGCCATTATCTAAAATTGCATTGAAGGTCAAAGTTTTGCTTCATTTTCTGAAGGAAAATACTGGTTAATTGTAAACATACAGTATCTGATTGAATCAAAGATCTCTTTGGAGCAGACACTAACCTCAAGCTTGAGAATGTCATGCTGAAGCTTGCGCTGGAACTCCAAAAAGTGAGAGATGGTCAGTTTCCCCTTCAGATCAGCTCCAAAAAAGTACGTGGTCAATGCAGAGTTGAAGCCAGTCTTCAAGGTATTGCCCGTAGTTGAACGGTCCCTATGACGCATGCCCATGCTGGTCTGGGAGCGAATTATGCTCTGAACCTAATAGAGTGCCAGAGCAGAAAACACTAATGTAACAAGGCAGGCTGCAACATGTATCCTAAATTATGGTTCCCAACCCTTTTTGAGTAATGAACTCCTTTTATAATAGCCAAGTAACCTACGACCCCACCACATTTACATAAATAGGCTGCTGTCATTATGCCTCAACATGACAGCACCACTGATGCTGCTGCTTGCTCTCCTACTGCGCCTGCCACCTGACTCTGCTACCACCACTTCAAAACTGGTGAGTGAACAGGCCATTCTGGCTGGTACTACAAACTCTCTAGTCTAAAACAGCTGCAGAGCACCAGGTTGTCAACCTCATCTCTACACAAACAGAATGATAGTACCAAGGGGTGAGGGTCAGAACCTGGCTCCATAAGTAATTTTTCTACATCTGATAAACCTAATACATGTCATGAAAGCCAATCCACCTGTGTCTCTAAACAGCAACATATGACATGAATCCTAATGTATATGTACAGGTTTACAACATACATACATAGAAAAGCTGGAAAGAATTAACCTAAGGAGAGGCTTCTGAGAAATCGGTAATGATGCTACTGGAGATTCAGAAGTCTCATTCAATCAGGCTGACTGGGGGCCTTTTAAATACCCAGCAAGAGCTTCTTTTGTTCTTTCTTGGATACTCTCCAGCTGGCCATGAGGAAAAGTTGGTCCCAGGACAATGGGAGGTGAGAGACAACATACTTCCGACTGGAATCAGGGTCTTAGTTAGTTAGCTGCATTAGGGAGAATGCTTTGGTTTGGCTGTACTAAGCTCCCAGAATGCCTACAGTTAACTCTTTACAGTACTTCTTATACCATTTTGCAATTAGGTTGTGCCCAGAGACCAGTCTCTGCAACATTTCTATTTTGGATGACCTTGCTGAATGTTTTTCTTTGTAGACATAATATTTTTAGTTCTTCCTAGAAATAATCTAGCCTGTAACATCTTCTGCTGGCTGCATGCACCATAGAATTCCTCAGCTAAGGAAAGAAAGAGCACACCACTGTGCCTGAAGACTTTTAGACCTTTTCCTTTTGTTTATAATACTTCCTAGATCCAGGGAAAGGTGGCAGATCCCACAATAAAAGCCCTCTCACCTGTTGGTGAATTGGAAAAAAACCCTCTTTTTATCCAAGAGAGGTGAAGGAGGGGAGAGGTGGTGGCAGCTACTGAATGTAAGTTTTTTTATATATATATATCAAGTAAGCAACACCATCCTGACTTTTAAGAAGCTGGGCAGGGGGAGAAACTTTACAATACAGTTTGTATCACTTTATTTCTAAGAGATTCAGAGATATGCACAGGATTGCACACAAACGTGCAATAATTAAGTGCATGTTAAAATACAAAATACAAAACAGATTCCTAAAAAATCTATGGCATCTCTCCACTTCCTAAAATGAAAAACTCCCTTGCTTATGAATAGAACTGAGGACAAATACTTTACTGTGCTTCACTTAAAATGTGGAATGGGCCAGCAAATGGGCAGATGAAAATGCTCTGGGGATGGATCTGGGAGATGGACAGGCCATCCCATGATAGGAATTCTCAAATGTCATTATAAGGAACCTTAAGAAAACAATTTAAGTCTGCCCAGAGCTAAAGTTGTCAAACTTTACACAAACTCTTTGGCTGTGCTATCCCAGGAAAATTAAAAGGGGAGAGAAATGAACAATATCATGCAAGTCTAGAAAAAGAAATCCTGAATTATCTTGTCCTCACATGTGAGAACAAGAAACTAGAAAATTATTATTCTCATCCCTAAGAGTAAGTAAACATGGAAAAATCTGCACTGCCTTCGACTGCAGCCTCTCTACAATGGAAAATCGTTGTCTAGTCATTTAGTCATGTCCGACTCTTCGTGACCCCATGGACCAGAGCACGCCAGGCCCTCCTATCTTCCAATGCCTCCCGGAGTTGGGTCAAACTCATCTTGGTTGATTCGATGACACTGTCCAACCATCTCATCCTCTGTCATTCCCCTTCTTCTCTTGCTTTCACACTTTCCCAACATCAGGGTCTTTCCCAAGGAGTCTTCTCTTCTCATGAGATGGCCAAAATACTGAAGCCTCAGCTTCAGGATCTGTCCTTCCAGTGAACACTCAGGGTTGATTTCCTTTAGAATGTATAGGTTTGTTCTCTTTGCAGTCCAGGGGACTCTCAAGAGCCTCCTCCAGCACCACAATTCAAA